GGAAGAAAAAAGAGAGACTTGAGAGAGAGACGAGAAAATTCAAGCAAATGATTAAAAAAGAGAAGCATGAGAGCTGGAGGAAGTTCGTCACGGAAACAGGCCGCGCCAATCCGTGGAGTATTATATACAAGATGTCCGCCAACAAAATGAAAACAGAGACGGTCCTAAGCGCCCTAAACACGAACAACGGAGAAGAGACAGAAACGATGGAAGAGACCCTCAGAAAGCTCTGTACTAAAATGTTCCCGGCAGACCCCCAGGAAAATGACACGGAGGAACACGCACGACTCAGAGATGAAGCTGAATACAACGAGAATACCGGTCCCGACGTTACGGAAGTAGAAGAAGAAGACGTGTTCCTCGGCTTGAGCGAAATGAATAACAAGAAGGCACCAGGGCCTGATAACATAGAAGTAAAGGTGATGAAAGAATCCTGGGGAGTACTAGGGGAAGAGTTGACCTGGATAGTCAGGAAAATACTCGAGACCGGAAGATACCCAAAAGACTGGAAAGAAGGAAAACTCGTAATTCTGCTGAAACAAGGTAAACCACCGGAGGAAGAAGGGTCGTACAGACCCATCACGCTCCTATCCGTAATTGGAAAAATGGCAGAGAAAGTAGTAGTGAGAAAGCTAAGAAAATGGATGACCGAGAAAGGAGTCCACAGCGAGAAGCAATTCGGCTTTACCCCAGGCAGAGGGACCACGGACGCCCTTTGCAAACTGAAAAAGGTAGTCAGAGGATCCATGAAGAAATACGTTGCGGGAGTGTTTGTCGACGTGAAGGGAGCCTTCGATAACGCCTGGCCTCCCCTCGTACTGAGCGTGATGAGAGATTTGGAGTGCCCCGGCAACCTATACAGAGTGCTGCGTGACTACCTCCGCGGAAGGAGCATCAGAGTGAGGAAAACACTACAGCGGTTTATCTACGAGATACAGAAAGGATGCCCCCAAGGAAGTGTACTAGGCCCGATAATCTGGATAATATTACCCCACGATTTCTTGCAGAGAGAATTTGGAGAAGGGGTCAGTATAATAGCGTACGCAGACGATATAGTGATACTCGTAGAATCCGACGATGAAAAAGAACTAGAGCTCAAGCTAAACGAAATCATGAGGGAGCTGCGTACGTGGCTGAACAAAGCGAAGTTACAGTGGAGTCTCGAAAAAACCAAAGGGGTCCTCCTGAAAGGAGCGATCCAGAAAGGAAAAGGCTTCATCAAACACAAAATCGAATGGAGACCACTGGTGATGCTAGACGAAGAAGTCCTAGAATGGGTAGATAGCATCACGTACTTGGGATTGCTCCTAGACCAGTCATGGCTATTCACAGAACAAGCGAAGAAAGCAGCGAAGAAAGCGAGCAGCGTCATGAGAGCAATGCAAAGAGTCAACAGAGCTACCTGGAGAGTCGGCTTTAAGACGATGAATGTGATCTACGAAGGAGCCTTCCTCCCTACCCTCCTCTACGGCGCATGCATGTGGCACGAACGGGTAGAGCAATCGCACATCAAGCGCACCATAAGAGCGGAGCAAAGAGCGGCCCTCCTCGCAGCAACAGCGGCGTACAGAACAACATCCTGGTTAGCGTTGGTAGTCCTGTGCGGCAAGCTTCCGGCAGAACGAATGGTTAGAGTGAGAGGAAAAGTGGAAGAAGGGAGATACGACCGCAGAATGGAAGGAATAGAGAACCCAGAGAGAAGAATGATAATCAGAGAATACGAAGACGAACTAATAGAGTGCGAATGGGAAGAATGGGAGGAAGAATACGCGCAAGTGGAATACGACGAAAAGATCAGGACCGGCACCACCGGTCATATCAAAAACGTCAGAGTGAAAGAAATGATCGGCAATGTGAGAGAATGGGCGGAGAATAAGAGAACAGTGGATAGATGGGCGGTCGGCTACGTCACCGGGCACATAGGGGTGCGACAGTACCTCTATAGGCTCGGGAAAGCGGAAACCGACCGGTGTGAATGTGGAGAAGTAGAATCCATCGACCACGTTGTATGGGAGTGTGAAAGACACCTGAGCGAGAGAGAAGAAATGATGAACAGAATGGGGGACGCTCAAGACCCGACAGACATCAAAGACAAGAGAGTGTACGACGCGATAAGGAAGAGCCTTAAGAAAATCCGCGCGAAAATCGACGCGCAGAGGAGGGTAGCGAACGGTCCGGGTTGACAGCGTCCGTGATGAAAGAGGAGCCGAAACAATCGCGAAGCCCTTATAGGCAGCGTAAGAATGTAAACGCAGCCACCTGTACAAGGGTGAAACGAGGAAACGTAAGCCAGCGTGAAAGAGACGAAAACGACTGGAGGAACAGGAGATTTTATCCGCCGGTAAGCGGTTTTGCTCCCCCCCAGGCGGGTTCGACAGCGAGAAAGATTGAACCGGAGTGTACAGCGAGAGGTAAAAGCGAGCCGGAAGCTCGCCGACGAGTGAGTAAGATGAGCAGAGAAGAGTTTCGGGGTCCTTAGGACCCCTCCTCGGGCCGACCAAGAGCCCTTGCTGTTAAGCCCCTACCGAGGCGTCGGTTTGAATCCTGGTACACAAGGGGAGGTCTGCGCCCACAGGATACGATCCTGCGGCCTCCACGGGTTTGGACTCTGTGTGGTTCCGAGTGAAGGCGGGTTAGCTTGGGGTAGGGGTAAGAGTCGACTAAAGACTCTCGCCTTTACCGGTGGTATTAGACCAACTTCGCTCAAGGCCAGGGACTAAGTCCCGACGTTGGAAGACGCTAAATTACCTTGGAACCTCGGAAACGAGGAATCCATGCAAACGGCATAGGCAGCCAAAAGTGTCAGGTGTTTGGATGACACCGACCGCCAGCTGGTGCGGAGCAGGGAGCCTTCAGCGAACTGCAAAAACCAAGCGGAGCAGATCGTAAGTCAACTAACTCCCCCGGCCCCGGCCGGAGTTGATCGCCCACCGAGCGCATCGGTACCGATCTGGGGCAAGTCCAATCCCAGGTCGGCACGCTGAGGACGTGGGAACGAACCCGGTTCCGCTAACCTTTCGACACGAGGGGTAGACCCCCCGTGCAGGGTGAGGACGGCCTAGCGCCGCCCAGGTACCGGCACGTTAATCTCAAAGTTTGTTGTTGTTGTTGTACCCTTTGCCATCTCGAAATTCCAACACCATTATAGCGGCGGGACAGGTGACACAGCGTGTCTTTCACCTAAACACCTGCCCCGGGGCCAACCGCTATCCCGAGTACCCAATTGGTTTTATAGACGGGATGGGTGTCCCCGTCTTGCGGTAGGGGCCCTTTGCCGCCTCGACCGCTTCCTCCATTAACGGGACAGCCACCCGTGGCTGGAGGTGAGCCTATTTTCAAACCGAGCGCCCGGCGGACCCGGCGCTCGCCCTACCTAGCTTTCCCCTGGCGTTGCCGCCGTTTCCCGACCGCCTCCCGAACCCGCCGCCCCCTGCTCCAGAGCTCCTAACGTCTACTCCTAACCCGCCCCCCCTCTAGGGGTCCCTAATATATCTCCGCCCCCCTCTTCGTTCCCGGGGACTCTCGTCCCGTCTGCCCTTTTTCCCTCCCGCCCCCCGTTCCCCTGAGTCTTCTGAACTTGTGCTTTCTGTATCCGTCCCATACGGTCTAGCGTGACCCGTTCCCTCGGCTTCACTAGTTCCTTTGGTTCGTTTACTTCTATTGCGTTTCGACGTTGTCCTGTAAGACTTATTCCGGTTCCACGCCGGATCGTTGCCGCCTCGCTTACCGAGATTCACCGCCCGCAGCTTCGGATAATATTCCCCTCATCGTCGCGAGGATCCTTCCTCACCCTCGGAGGTTTCGGTTTCGCAACTGTGCTGCGTTTCGACCGGAGCCTCAGTCGCGGATGCTCCGCATTGGTTCCCCCCGAAGGGCTCACCGGTGAGGTCTCTCCACTGCTGCGGCCCCGATCGCGCACGGTTACTGTCGTTGCCGCTATCGTAGCGGCCGTCGCTGAAGTAGAGGGGGCAAGGTCAAAAACTTGCGAAAAACCCCCTGCCCCGTCTTCCTCGCTTCGTCCCGGTGCGGAGGGACCCGGTACAAAAACTCCTGAAAAACTCCCGGATCCGTCCGCCCCGTTACCGCTATCGTCCGTGGCAGACGCGCCCCCACTTACACGTCCGGAGACCTGTGGTGGCCCGTCCGCCACAGCAGCTTCACCTGCAAGTTGCTCCGCCTCTACCTCCTCGGGTTCGTCCGGATCCTGCTCCAAGTCAGCCGGCTCGACGAATCGCGGTATTCGAGGCGCGGTGTGCATCATAACCTTACGCTGGTCCATGATGGCCTGGATTGCCTTACCAATCGCTTGGTAAGTCGACCCGACCTTGAGATCTGACGGGTCGGCCTCGCCTAACCCCTCGATCAGTCTCAACCTCGCTTCCTCATAGATCCGGTAGTTCCACACGAAGTGGTCTACCATTTCTACCTCCCCGCACGGACATAGGTCAGTGTCCGCGGCTCCTACACTTTGGAGGAATGAGTTGACACCCAGATGCCCAGTTATATAACCGGACATGTGCGTGCTAACTCTCGTCTCCGTGAATTCTCATTCTTTGACATCTGGGATGAACCTTCGGGTCCTTACCCCGCGGTGCTCGTTCTCCCACTCGGTCTGCCATCTCTGCCACGCCTCAGATCTGAGGGTGCGCTCTAGAGTCTGTGCCAATTGCTTTTTCTCGTTAGGTGGAGTACCTTGCTTCATCAAGTCGTATTTGGTATTTTCAATACGGTGCCTTATTTCAATCTCGTAATCTATCGGGAGAACGGCCGCTAATGCCACCACCGCCACGAAGGAGACCGTTCTATAGGAACTTCGTTCTCTCATCTCTTCTTCTTGCTCGTCTGTCGTTACATTCTTGGTATTGTGGCAGTAAACGCTTGCTATGAGCATTTTCCCCTCTTTTGTTTCTATCATACATGTGGCAAGGTCTCTATCCATGTTGTTTGTCAGTGCTAGGACGTCTATTCTCCTATTGAAGATATAGATTGCTGCCCTGACTCTATCTCCTGATGTTCTGTCGCATACCAATCTTACGCCGGACCATAAGGTTGGAAGACCGTCTCCTCTTGTGTACGGCTCTTGAGCCGACGCTACATCGATATTCTGCTTTGCGCACCAGCTGCGGAACTCGTTGGTCCCCTCCTCGCTCTTTCCTCTCTTCGTCTGTTCTCCTTACTATCCACTCCATCTCTCTGATCAATGACGGGCATCCATGATCGAAGACGTCGTGATCTGACCTTATTTTCTGACCATGACAACATGCGCATGTGGGGCCCTCTACTTTACATTCCGCTCTATTGTGTCCAGGCTTTCCACACCACGAGCATAGATCTTCCTTCTCCCCGCATCTTTTTGCCACGTGCCCTAGTTTGTGACATTTGTAGCACCTGAGTATGTCTATGTGGTCCCATACCCTGCATCCATTGTATGCCACATAAATTATCCCCATTTCTAGAATTTGTTGTCCGAGCTTCCCTGACACCTCTAGAATCCACGTTGCAACCTTGTCATTCCTCGTTTTCTTCTTTATTCCTTTACCTACCGCTTTCTTAAAATCTTCCCTCTCCCATCCCTTGAAGTTCTTCTGACGGATTTCCTCTATTAAGTCTTCCTCGTTTATTTCTGAATCAACCCCATTAATCCGAACCATAGGCTTTTTGTCTTTTACTTCCCTCGTCGTAAGTTGTCCCTCTCTAATCACTGGTATCTCTTTTAGCTTTCTATTTACTTCTTCTTCCGACCCCTTTACCGTGAGAATCGCCCCTGTCTTTGTTTTGGCTAACCCTTGAACCTTCCAACCTTGGTCCTTGATGAGGTCCTTAACTTTGTCTTTCACCTCTTTACCATCGGGGTCGTTGGCATCTTCTAGGATAATCTTGACGTCTCTTCTTTCCTCCTGTTTATTTTTGACCATCTGACTATAGGAGTTTTTTACATTTGGTTCCCGGGGCAGGGTCCCGATTTCCTCCGCTATCTCCTTCTGCTTTCTCTCAATTTTGTTTAACTGCTCTCCCGTATTTCTCATAATATCCACTACATCATTAAACCCTTGCAATTTTTCTACTAATGTATCTACACTACCTTCGGGGGCCGTCCATTTTATACCCTCTATCCTCTCCATTAATTTCCCCAATTCCTCTCTTGTCTCCCTCTGCGTTTTTTTCCATTTTTTCCATTTGCTTTTCAATATCCTTAACCGCCTGCTTCCTCTGTTTCTCGCTGCTTTCTGCCTTGGTTGCCGTATCTTTTATTATTCCTTCTTTTTTTACTATAGCTTCCTTCAGCTTCTCTATTTCCCTCACTTCTGTAACCCTATTCTTCTCCCTCGCTTCCTCACAGGCCACCACCTGTGTGATTTTATTTCCCATCTTAACCAGTCTCTCCGTTAATTCCGCGTAGTGCATTCTCTGATGTTCTGTATTCTCCTCCACGGTCCTCTCAATCTGTCTCTTCCATACCTCTAATTGGTTCATTACCTCGTTTTCCACACTCGTCCTTGCTTCATTAGCTACCTCGAATGACTCTCTCATGGTTTTCACCATCGTAACCCCTACCCCCTCAAGGACCGTCTGTTCAAGCCTTCTCGCTATTTTTTCCGCCAGTAGATCCGTATCCTCTAGCCTATTTCTCATAGATAGCCCTCTCTCTGCAACCACAGTATCGGCCGTAATACATCTCAACCTGTCATCCTGTAGTCTCAACTTGGCTATATCCTCCTTAATCCTACTGTGTATGCAGCTCTTTGTTTTCTGAGCTTTCACATAAAATAGGAGCTCTTCCTCCACCATTCTTTTTGCCTCCATTGCCTCATCAAACCCTACGGGCAGATCATCCTGATCCACCGCGAATCTTTTCACCGCCCTTCTCTCTTTTATCGGAGTCGGCCTCCCACTCGAATCGGTGCTTAACGAGTGCGACCTATCCCTTTTCCATCCTTGTGAGGATGGGAAAGATATAACAGGTGTTCCAGTTAACATGTTTCCTTGACCTCGTATCAGATTCTCCTCCAGATCATTAACCTCCATTTTCTCCAATTCCTTTAATTCCTTGCCTTCATTTCCTTCATTTCCTTCTCCTTTAAACTCCTTGAGGTCCGTTATTTTTTTATCCTCAGTATTCCCTTCCTTCCCGCCAACCTTCTCTTTGTCCTGCTTTTCCTTGTATGCCTTTAAAAACTTGGTTATTTGCTGACTCGTGACTTCTGGTACTATTCCTTTTACTTTCCTGCTGCTCTCCACATTTTCCGTCCTTTCCTCGTTCTCCGCATTCTCCGTTTTATCCATGTTCTCAATATTTCCCGATTTTTCCGCAATATCCTTTATTCCCGTAGTTTCCGATTTTTCCGCTTTGTCCGTATCCTCCTTGTTTTCCCCTCTCGGGTCTCTATCCATTCTTATCCAGTGCTTCCTTATGACAATTCGTATTTAATTTGAGCCTTACCCCTTTTCCCTGAAATTTTTAGTTTTTCGCCAGAATTTACTACTTTAACATCCACGAGAACCTCCAGGAGTAGTGTTCCAACGCAAGGGGTATGGGTTGGAGGGAGGGTGTTTAGGGGACTTGCTTACGCCGAAATGGCTTACGCGCCGCTTTGCTGAGGGTAGCTCTTCCACCTTACGGGTCCGGACGTACGCCACGAAACCTTCCAGGCGTAGGGTGCAGCCCTCGTTAATGGGAGCGGGAGGAATTCAGGGGGCGCGCTGGGGAGGATGTTCTGAAGGAACCTTGGTTGGGTTGGTTAGCTCGTTCTGCTTTCTAGCGAAGCTTGCTTGATAACGCGTGTTGTTGCGCGCTGCCGTTTGCCAGGGTCGGGACCCCATTGTTGGGGTGGAGGGGGGGGGGGTTGGTGGATTTCGGCTCGATTCATGCCGTTACGGGGCCTATTCTGCCAAGGTTGCTACTGATCCCGGCTCGACGGCCTCTTTGCGTTTGCGACGCTTACGGCTCCTTCTGCTTGAACCTTGGTTGTTTTCTGCTGCCGGGGCTTAGGCTGGGATGTGTCCTATCTTATCGTCGTTACCGCGGACGATTCTGAAATATTGCTCCACGATGAGCTTAACTAATTCTACTTTCCCTTTGCCGTTTAGGTGCAGACCATCAGAGGTGAAAAGTTTCCGGCTAAAGTGATTAGTGAAAATGGGATGGATGGCTTTGTTGTGCCGGATGATCTTAAGGATCTTAAGGTTGATGAGTGCTACATCGGGGTTTTTGTGGGGGAAGTCTGCACGTTTTAAGACTAAAACTAGAATCACGGGATTCGTTTTGGCCACTCGTTTGACCTCATCTAAATTGAAGTCCAGAAGGGTCTTCTTTACATCGATTGGGACAGTTTGGGGTTCCGTGTGGGTGTTGTTAGTACCACCGATAATGCAGATGACTCTGCCGGGGGGGGACGTTTTCGATGCACTGGGTTACTGCTTGGAATTTGCCGTTAGGCTTAAATGTACCTTTACTGTCCGGGAGTTCGTCCCTAATCATGTAGGTGAGGTCCCTTCCGTGGCTACTGGCGAAAAGCTCCAGGATGTCCATGATGACCTGTAACATAGATGTGAGCACGTTTGATTAGTGGTTATGATTTTGTTGGACTTGTCGGTCGATGATTTCCTTTTTGAGGAGCACCGCTTTCGCGAAGATGCTGACCGCTGTAAAGACTTGCTTGTCGAAGAAGTCGACTTCACTTACGCGGAAGTTTGCAGGACGCGGATTTAGTTTTCGGAGGAGCGCCTCCCTTTCCTGATTATAGTGAGGGCAACGTTCGAAAATGTGTGTGCTCGTTTGTAGGCTGGGAAAAGTTCCACAGCTGCAGTGTCCGTGTCCTATCTGTGGGAGGCCTCTGGCTTCTAGGTGCGCGTTGAACTGCCCGTGTCCCGTGAGCATTTGTAGCATCCAGTGGGTAGGATTAATTTTCCTCCTACTCCACTCCCTGACGTCCGGGATCAGATGCCTAGTGTGGCGTGCCGTGTCGGAGTAGACCCATTCTTGTTGCCATTCTTCCCAGGCCGTGTCCACTAGTTGTTTTTTGAGTTCGCGTTGTTGTTGGACGATTTGCTCCTCGGCGAGTACCTCCTCGCTGTTTCTAAGGGCGACCCTATTTTCGGCCATTTTACCGGCGATTTCTATCTCCTTTTCGATGGGGAGAACACCTGCGGTTGCGATAAGCGCTTCGGTGGAGACGGTGTTGTAGGCCTTCGTGGTTGTTAGTAGTGCCTTCCGCTGGGCCGATCTTAATTTGGCCTTGCCTTTTACGAGTTTGGTTTCGTCGTACCAAATGGCCGCGCCGTGTGTGATCCCTGGGACGAAGACACCCTTGTAGATGGTCTTAAGGTGTTTTGTCTTGACGCTCCATTCCCTGTGGGCCATCGTTCTCATAACGCCGTAAGCGGTGTTCGCCTTGTACGTTGTTTTTACGATGTGCCCTAGAAATCTTGTGTTCCGCGATAGATGTACCCCGAGGTATTTATAAGAGTCCACGATTTCGATTTTGTTCGAAGGGAGGCAACCCAGGCCAGCACCGAGGCCTTTATGCCTTACTTTGCGCGTAGGGTCTAGGTACACTATGAACCTTCTAGTGTCCATTTGTTTTTGTCCCTTCCGGAGGGTTTCTTTAAGGATTACGATTTTACGTGGCTGAGACTGTCATTTTCGCTTTTTCCGCCCATCTCGTTAAGCGAGCGCAGGCGGTCATTAGTCTTTGTTTAAGTTCGGCTTGAGAGTTGCCGGTCACCAGAATTAGGAGATCGTCCGCGTACGCGATTACCGTGTGGCCTACTGCTTCGAGGTTTTTAATTATCTCGTCGAACAGGATGTTCCAGAGTAAGGGACCCAGTATGGACCCTTGGGGGCAGCCCTTCTCTATGAAGTGTTCGAAGCGAGTCTGGTGACTTTGTATTATTACGGATCTGTCCTGGAGATAGGACCTAATTACGCGGTAGAGGTCTAAGGGGCAGTTTAGGGCTCAGAGTCTTTTCAAGATCATGGGCGGCCACGCGTTATCGAACGCACCCGAAATATCCACGAAGAGCCCTAGCATGAACTTTTTGTCACATGCTTCTAGTTTGGTTTTTAATTTGATAAGGGCGTCATCGGTCCCTTTGTGCTTCCGGAAGCCGTACTGGTTGGGGGATAGTAGATTGTTGTCCTCGATGTGATTGGATAGTCTGCGAGCGACTATTTTTTCAAAAACTTTTCCCATCACTTGTAGGAGTGTGATGGGCCTATACGTATCTACTGAGGTAGGGTCCTTTCCCTCCTTTGGAAGGATAATCAGTTTCCCTGTTTTCCACGCGGTAGGAAAAATTCCTGCCCTGCGCGATACCTCCAGGACCCACGTGAGGCGTGAGCCGATGAGGGGCCAGGCATGTATTAGGATGTCTACGTCTAGCTGGTCCGAACCAGGAGCCTTGTTCCGTTTCATGGAATTTAAGGCCTCGAAGACGGCTTCTTCGGTGATTTCTGTTGTTTCGTCGGTGGGTGGATCTTCCACGACTTGTTCCCTTGTCCTAGTATTTTCTGCCGTGTCGGTCCCAAGGTTATCCGGGGGAAACAGCTTTTCCGACAGGGCCCTGAGGCTTAGTTCGGGATCGCCCGAGTAATTCGCTTCGCGGAGCGCTGAGATTGTGGTCCTTTGCCCGAGTTTACCCCTTGCTAATTTGTAGATTTGTCCCCAAGGGTCGCGATTTCCCTCTTCCTGTACGAATTTTTGCCAGCATTTGTTTTTGGCCTCCCACATTGCTATGTCGTAGGCTCTGTAGGCCTGTTTCATCTGTATTGTAGCGTCGTTTATGGCGTCTCGTCGTGGTTGTGGTATGTGTACGTTGTTGACGCGGGGAAGGCCGAGCATAAGGGTTTTGTATTCCCGGACTTTACGTTTCACGTTTTTGCGGAGTTGATTTATTTCTTCCGTCCACCATGGAACACCGTTGTTTCGAGATCGTTTCCTTTTAAGAGTCTGATCGCAGACATTTTGCAGAGTTTTGGTTATTATTTCTGCCTGTCCGTTAGGCGCTACGCTAGTTTCCAATGGTGGGTGATCCTTGATCGCCTGGTCGAATTCCGCCCAGTTGATGTCCTTCGTTTTGTACCCGGGTAGGAGATACGTCTCCTTTACTATTGCGTTCCGGACTCGAAAGCGGATTTCTCTGTGGTCCGCATCCGGTGGTCCTTCCTGCACGAGCCAGTTGCTTATGTCGTTGTGCGCGATAGCGGAGGTCATTGTTACATCTATGTTGGTGCCTGTTAGGTGTTCGCGCGCCTCGCGGGCATTCCGTATTCTGGTTTTAGACCAGGTTAGCCTGAACGTCCTTTTACCTTTGTAGGTAGTTAGGCGTTGCACCGTGTTTTCGACCACGAGATTATTATCCAGAATGCATTTAAGGGCTTTAATGCCTCTTGGATAGCAATGTTTATCGTGCCACATGGTATGATGGGCGTTTAGATCCGCGCCTGTGATTATATTACTATTAGGGTTTTCTCGCATGATGCGGTTAATTTTGTCTAGGTATTGGTCGATGTCCTCGCGAAACTGGCAGTAGAGAGATACGAAAATATATGCCTTTTCCGAAAGGGTGACTGTTGCGACGGCACAATGGGTATCGATGTACTTATCCATGCGTACCACGTCGAGGTTAGGGTTGTTTATTATTATCGCGGCTCCTGGCGGATTGTGCGTATCTTCGGGGCTGGAGATGATCATGTTTCTCATACCGAACCCCTTCACGGCCCCCCTCGGGGCGTAGGGTTCCTGTAGGAGGGTTATATCTATTTGCTGCTTGGTGTTGGTGTGTCTAAGGTCCGCCGCCGCCTTATGGCATCTGCCGATGTTTATTTGGTTTACTTCCAAGCGGTCTTTCAATATTTTTCGCGGAGCTGTCATCGTTTATTATTATTGTTTAGTCCGCGAGTCGCCCGGAAAACCGGGCATTTATTATCCGTTGCATAATGGTTTACGTCCGCGTAGCCCTTCTTGATGCAGTTGATGCATCTTACGATGTTATCCGTGCAGGTGTCTTTCATGTGGCCGAACCTGGCGCACCTGGAGCACGTCGGACCGGTGTCGGTGCACTGGCGTGCCGCGTGATTGAATGCCAGACAATTGAAGCACCTCCTAGAATCGAAGTGCTTCTTCGCTTGGCCGCCGCACCAAGTTCCAAAACTCAGTGATCCTAACTCGGCGATTTTAGATTGGATCTCCGGAGACGCTTGGATGATCCATTTATTGGTTGCCTCGTTTTTCGATTTACCTTTCACCATTCTGACGATGGAAGTGGTGAATTTTTCCTTCGGGATTACATGCAGCTCGTGGTTGTTATCGTAGAGGGCTTCGATAGTTTCCTCTTCCGAGAGGTGTCCGGGGGCCTCGTGGATCTCTACCCCTGTGGGGATGATTGAGATTTCCTTCACTACTAAATTGGTGTCAGCTAAAGCATTCGCGACGATGCTCTTTGCTTTGTAGTTGTTTTTAAAAGTTACTACGACCTCCCGCTGTTCGTTGTCTCGTTTCGTCTTTAGTACGTAAAGTCCTGACTGTTGGAGACGTACGTGTTGTTGGACAGTGTTGAGTATTTGGTCCGCGGTTAAGTTTTTGTCCGAATCTGTGATTTGTATGATTGTGTCGTTTGCAGTTTCCTCCCGTGCAGGAGCCGGAGTTGGCTTGGGAGTAGTTGCGCGTAATTGTTTTGTTCTCGGTAAGTTGGACTGTGGCAGTGTGGGGAACAGTGGTTGCCTTAGGGGCGGCCACATGGAACCGTGAGTCTGCGGTGAAAGGTATGGTTGGTGGGCATGAGTCGGTGGAGCCATGGGGTTTGGCCTCAGTGGTGGGAGAGTAGTGTGTGAATCATCGCGTAGTGGTTGCCTGTTATCCAAAGCAGGTTTTATTAAGGGTCCGTTATGTTGAGGCTGTTTATTTTGGTGGTTATGGTTAGCTTGTTTATTTAGAGGATCCGGTTTATGCGTGTGTTGGGTGTTTTTACTTGAGAAGTTGGTTTGTACATTTTGGGTGTTCTGAAAATTATGAGGGAGTTGATTATTTTTAGGGTTCCTTTTGTTTTGGTTACTTTGTGTGTTTTGATTGTTTTGCCTTGTAGTTTCCGAGTTGTTTTCCGTAGTTTGTTTATTTTGTTTATTAGGCTGTTTTTGATTATTTTGGTTTTGACCGTTTGGTTGTTTATTGTTTTGAGTTGAGCTTCCGTTGTTATATTTTGTTAGTTTTTGCGGCGGCTGTTGTTTTTTATTGTTTGGGGGAGTTTTGGCCGAGGGCTCAGGTTTACTATTATTGTTGTTGTTGATTGTTTTGGTTTTAGGCTCAGCGGGTTTAAGTTTCACGGTTTGATTTGCAGCTGGGATTGAGTTTAGGGTTGAGTTTAAGGTTGAGTTGACGGTCGAGGTTGTGGTGAGTTTATTGCTTTTCCTCACCTCCTCAGCGACTCTTACGGAGAGTGCGCTGATAAGGTACAGGTTTAGGTTTACTATTATTGTTGTTGTTGATTGTTTTGGTTTTAGGCTCAGCGGGTTTAGGTTTCACGGTTTGATGTACAGTTGGGATTGAGTTTACTGTGGGATGAGAGCTGGGAGTGCTTTTCCTTACCTCCTCAGCGACTCTTACGGAGAGTGCGCTGATAAAGTCGGGACTAAGGTTGAGGCTGTTTGTTTTATTTTGCGTTTGCTTATTTTGGTTAATTTGGTTTTCTAGTCTAGTGAGGCGTTCGTTTATAGTTGCTGTTAGATTATTTACCGTGTCCTTACTATCAGTTTGAATGTGGTTTTTGAGGTGAGTTGTAACCTTAACTAGACGTTTATCGATGGTTTCAGTTATTATTGAGGTGGCCTCCTGCACCTGTTTGGCGACTTGCTCCTGAATTTCCGAGTTGCTGGGGATATAGGCCAACCTATTGGTGATGGCCTCTTCCAACTGTTTTTGAGTTGGTATGTCACTGAGGTGGAGGCTTAGAGAGTTTAATTTGGAATCAAGTTCGAGAAGGCCGGTGGAGTCCTCGTCCTTCTCGATTAGTTTGTTAAGTTTGTCGTTTATTACACCCATGCTAGCAGTAATGCTTTCGAGCAGAATGTCCGCCGTTTCTGCTCGACTGGGCCGGAAAGGTGTTTGAATATGAGTTTTATTGGCAGCCTCAGTAAGCTACTTTATTTTTATTTGATTCCTTTCGGCTTCTTTAGCAATGCGGTTCCTAATCCTTTCTTTGGTCGCGTCTAATTCGTGTTTTAATATTTTACAGTTTATTATATTAAGTTGCTCGTTAACGTACTGGCAGATGTCGGTTTTTAGTGGGTCGTTTATTCTGTTTAGTTCGGAGTTTGCGGACGAGCCCGGGCTTTCTGCTATTTTTTTCATGGTGATGGGTTTGGTAGCACGTTTTGTGTTGGGTGGAGATGACTTGGTGGAGCTTGTGGTGGACGCATTACTAGAGGTGGTGGTACGGGTCCTAAGTGTTTTAGTCGTGATGGTTGGCGGTGATCTCGTGGTGGTCGTGGTCGATTTGGTGGTTTTGGTCATGTTGGGTCTCGTGAGTTCAAGTCGAGTGACTTTGACTAAAGGTGGTGAGTGGAACATATTGGATTTGTTTTATTCGACGCGCGGAGCGACGTGCGCTAAGGCGCAGCGACGAAAAGCGAGCGTAGCGAGCGCCCGAGCTCCGCGGGAGATTTTTCGGTTTTTGAGAGAGATTCGTTGCCCTGAGAGCGAATCTGAGAGTGGAAAAAGGGCAGTTTAGTGGGTTTGGCGCGGGCCTTAAAAGAGCGATTTTTCGGCTATCATTTTGGAAGAAAATGAGTAAAGTGCCTTAATTTAGAGAAAAATGGGGGAATTTAGATATGCTTTTGCTTAGTTTTGACTACTTTTTGACCACTCAAGCGCGAACTTTGAGCGGCCTTAGGAAACCTCGAAAAATTGAGTTTTTTCGAGATTTTTAGAGGATTTTCGCGTGAAAAAAGCAATTTTTCGCGATTTTCTCGAGACGGAAAAGGTATAAGCGCGGGTTTTTAACATTTTTATTATTGATTAGTGTGGAACTTGCCAAAAAATCACGAAAATTTTTGAAAATTTGAAAAAATTTTGAAAAAATTCACAAAAAATGAAAAAATTTAGAAAAAACAGCAAAAAGATAGAGAAGTAAAATGAAAGCGTTGAGGGGAGTGAAGTCAGCTAAAAAGTACACATTTCTACCTTTAGGAGGTGAATTAGAAAAAAAGAGGGTGTTCGTACCTTTAGGAGGTGAATTAGAAAGAAAAGAGGGTGTTCGTACCTTTAGGAGGTGAATTAGAAAGAAAAGAGGGTGTTCGTACCTGCAACACAGAGCAGAACAGAAAACTTAGATAGAGCCACGAAACAGCGAAAAAACAAGGAAAAGGCCGATTTTCAAGATTTTTCGTCGACTTTTGACGTCTTGAAAATAGAAAAAGAGCAAAAAGGCGCGAGAAACTTGCGAACACTTGAGAAAAACACGGTAAGAGCTTATCCGAGGCAAAAGCGCTGAGAAGGGCTTGATTGACGACGGGAGAACTTGACTGCGTGCAGCGTAACTCGAGAGCGAACGAAGGAATCGTTGATACGGACACACACACACACGGTGGAGCGTTTTACGTGCCGATACCTGACCAGCATTCGCTGGCCTTACTCGGACACGGGGGGTCTACCCCTCCTGTCGAAAGGTCTTTTACGCGTCCTCAGCGCGCCTCACTGGGATTGGACTTGCCCCAGTTCGGTACCGATACGCTCGGTGGGCGCCAGACTACGGCTTGCGCCGCTGGGAGTAGTTGGCTTACGATCTGCTCTGCTTGATTTTACCAGTTTGCTGAAGGCTCCCTGGTCCGCATCAGCTGGCGGTCGGTGTCATCCAAACACCTGACACTTTAGGCTGCCTATGCCATTTGCAAGGATCCCTCGTTTCCGAGGCTCCAAGGTAGTTTTACGTCCTCCGACGTCGGGACTAAGTCCCTGGCCTTAAGCGAATTGGCCTAATACCACCGGTGGAGGCGAGAGCCTTTAGCGACTCTTACCCCCACCCCGAGCTAACCCGCCTTCACTCGGAACCACACAGAGTCCAACCCGTGGAGGCCCCAGGTAAACCTGGTGGGCAAGAACCTCCCCCTGTGTACCAGATGATTCGTGCTGACCACTCAGCAAGGGCCTCAACAGCCACGGCTCCTGGTGGGCCGGAAAAAGGGACAGTGTCTTCGCCACTAGTTCCATTCACACTCCTTTACATTCATACCTGTGACTCACTCGACCAATCATTCCCGTTTCCGATTCCTCCTGGAGGCGGGCAAAACCACGTACCGGTGGAAAAATCCCGTTCTCCTCCAAGAGTTCACTTCCACATCCTTTCAAAGTCGGTCCTCGAAGAGCCTCTTACAGTTGCAGCGTTAACATATCATACACAAAACTATTTACAATCATATACATTACAAAATTACAATGACAAAGATATAACTAAATAAATAAAACAAATCCCTTCCTATTTACGCTGCTAGAGACCCCTCGATTCCCTATGTCCTCCACGGATCTTCCCTCTCATCCTGGATCATCCACTCCACCTTCCAATCTCCTCGCTTTCTTCTCAGCATCCAACTTATCACACATCTTCCTAAAGGATTTACGAATCGCTTCGTATACCTTCCTTTCTCTAATATCTTTACAATCGTTCACACCTCTCATTCTATCCATCATTTCGCGCCTCTCACTGTCATACTTCTCGCACTCCCATACTACATGGTCCACTGTTTCAACCTTCCCACACGTACAGTCCTCTGAGGGTTCCTTCCCATGCTCGAACAAGTATGCCCCGACACGAATATGTCCCGTGACATACCCTAAAATCCATCTATCAACCACTCTTTTCTCATTCATCCATTCTTTCACACTCGGTACGAGCTCTTTCACTCTTACATTCTTCACTCTTCCAAGCTTCGGGTCGAACTCTACTTCTCCATACTCCCTCTCCCACTCATTCCATTCGTTCTCCAGCGGCTCGCTTTCAAGCTGCTTTACCATTCGATACCTTTCATCCTTTGCTACTCCTTCTTCGTTAAGTTCGGCCCTCCGCTCCTCAACCATACCTCTCACTCTCACCATTCTTTCGGCCGGAAGCTTACCACAGAGGGCCACCAACGCGGCCCACGATACCGTTCTATAGGCAGCTGTGACCGCCAGGAGCGCGGCCCTCTGCCCCGCTCTCAGCTCTCTCTTAACGTGCGTCTGCACAACTCTCTCATACCAGAGTCCCGCCCCGTACATAAGTATGGGCAGGAAAGCTCCTTCGTATATCACATTCATCACTCCATAACCCACTCCCCATGTCGCTCTGTTCACTCTCTTCATCTTGTGCATCACCATACTCGCTTTTTTAACTGCACTCTTAACATGGTCCTTGAACAACCAGGACTCGTCAATCCTTACACCCAGGTAAACGAGACTCTTCACAAACTCTATCACTTCATCGCCCATTCTCACACTCGGTCTCCATTCGCGCTTCGTCCTTATGCACCCTACCTCTTGTTGTAATACTCCTTTCAACAAGATTCCTTTGGTCTTTTCAACGCTGCATTCTAACTTAGCCTTGTCCAACCACTCTTTAAGATCACTCATCACACCATTCAAGATTCGCTCCACATCTTTCTGCCTGTCTGCCTCTACAATAATCACAATGTCGTCCGCATACGCTATTACACTCACCCCTTCGCCAAAGTTTCTTCTCAGCCAGTCATGCAACAGGATCAGCCACACAACCGGTCCAATCACACTCCCTTGAGGGCAGCCTTTCGCGATCATCCACAAGAATCGTTCAACGATTCTTCCCACTTTCACACTCCTTCCACTCAAATAGTCCCTGATTAACTTGTACAAGTTACCAGGCACTCGAATTCACGCATCACACTCAACACCAGCGGCGGCCACGCATTGTCAAAGGCACCTTTCACATCCACAAACACTCCAGCCACATACGTCTTACTTGAACTTTTTACTAGTTTCTTTAGCTTACACAGCGCATCCGTTGTTCCTTTACCGGGCACAAACCCGTACTGTCTTTCGCTCAAAGCTCCACTTTCATTCATCCATACTCTCAACTTCCTTACAATCACTTTTTCCACAATCTTTCCAATCACCGAGAGAAGCGTAATAGGTCTATAAGACCCCACTTCTCCCGGCGGCTTTCCGCCTTTAAGCAACACCACAAGCTTCCCAACCTTCCATTCACTAGGGTATTCCCCCGTTTCAAGCATCCTTCTCACAATCCACATCAATTCCTCACCAATCACTCCCCACGATTCTTTCATCACCTTGACTTCTACTTCGTCTACGCCGGGAGCCTTCCCGTTCTGCATTTCCGCCAGACCCTTGAAGACCTCCTCTTCCGTCACTTCCAGATCATCAGCTCCTGCGCTTTCTTCTCTCATCTCCTCTCTTATTCTCTCATGTTGCTCACTCTCTCCCTCCATTTGGTCTGGCGGAAACATCTTTCTACAAAGTACCTGCAGTTTCTCATTCATATCTGTTGTCTCACTTCCATTCACACTTATAGCACTCAGCACTCTCTCCGTTTTCATTTTCTCACACTGCATACGATACACCACACTCCAAGGATCTTTTCTCCCTACCTCGTTTACGAATGTCTTCCAGCTTTCGAATCTTTGTTTATTAATCATCCGTTTAAACTCCTTGGAGGTCTTTTCCAACTCATACTTCTTCCTCATTCTCTCTCTGCCTCGGGCTCTCTGGTACTCTCTTCTTTTCCTCCTGACCTCCTTTTTCTTTTCGTTCAATAGCTCGTTCCACCATTTCACACCTCTTCCATTTCCTCTCTTCTTCCTCCCACACACTTTCTCACTAACTTTCACTATTATTTCGGTAAGTCTCTTAACTCTATCCTCCAGCTCTCTCTCTCCTGAGTCACAATTTTTCCTTCTTTCCCATTCCCACTCAAGCTCCCTTCTGTACTCTTCCCAGTCAACTCCTTCCGTTCTAATCCTTCCACTCTCCACTCGCGCTCCACTCACGCTCTCTTTCGTTCTAATCACTATCGTTCTATGGTCCGCCAAAGCGACACCAACTTCATCCGTAAGTACCTCCCATTCACACTCTTCCACCAGGTCTTGCGTTACAAGCGTAACGTCTACGTTACTTTCCCTTCCTCTATAACCCCGAAAGGTCATAGGGAACCCTGGTTGGTTTAACACGCACAACTCCATTCGCACGATCGCTTCTTCGAGCATCTCCCCACGCACGTCATTCTTTCCACTATACCACCATTCATTCTTAGCGTTAGCGTCGGCTCCGATAAGTACCTTCTCTTCTCCGAACTTTTCGACGATTTTCTCCATCAATTCCAAGGAGACCTTCATCTTCTGGATGTTTACACTTTCCTTATCTTTATCGTTGCCTTCGCTATATATACTCGCACAGATAAGGCGTTCGCCCTCTGTTTCCACCACACACACTGCAAATAGCTTTGTAGTGACGCTCGGCACTTTCAGTACCTCAAGGCTCCCGTCGTAGACATATATAGCCGCTTTCACTCTACTCCCAACACTCTCATCACAAATCACTCTCACTCC